AATTCCCCAACCAGCATGCTGGCTGGGGAATTTTGGGAGTTGAAGTCCACACATCTTCAGGTTGCCAAGGTTGAGAAACACTGCCTTAGCATGTCAGGGCCCCACAGGACCAACACTACTAATTCCAGCATCCTCTTTTTGCACTTCTTGCTTTCAAAGCTGCGATACGATAACTAAAATCATCTTCAGTTTTGTGATGCCTCAAAGCACATGCTGAGCCTTACCAAGCAAAGCATCAAACAAAGTCATCATGGTGTGGGTAAGATGAATAGGAGAGGTCTGAACCAAGACTCTGCAATGATGGCGAATAAATTCCAAAGAAGGCTGAACGAGCCACATAAAAAGGTCGTCAACCTGGAAAGCAAGCAGGTTGAGAGATTGTCTAAATCACAGGATATGTCACATTTACAGTTAATGGGTAATATAACCCTTCCACAGCCTGCAGAAGGATGAGAATTAGAAGAGTCTTGCACTGCAGCCATACTGGCAGAGGATGATGGGACCTGAAGTGTTCTTGCACATTGGGTAAGATTGGATTAGCACAGGAAATCTGTTTAGATCTAAGGATAATCTAAACTTTCTCAGTGTTTATAGATGTGGCAGAGTTTCAAAGGGCTTTGGAGCTACAACTTGGTCAGATCCCTCACCTGACCAAACACCCCCAACCTTGTGACATTTCAGGCATTTTTAACAGATTTTATTACACCCACCATCACCAAAAATGTATGTTAACGTCCAGTGTTGAAAATCTGCCAAACCATTAAAGCTTTAGAAAGGTTCTATATTAAAACGATGAACACAGTTATAACATGAAGTAATCTCTCAAACTAGTTATTTAAAGCCTGCAAGCTATTTCCATGGTTTAAACCCTAAGTAATCTTGGGAGCTCAACAGGTGACCTACAAGAAATTCTTTCATAAACAAATAAATACAAATAAACCTAACAGTATATACCGGAAAGGTCATTAATTTCAATTCCCCCTTCGTGATCAATATTAAAATACTGAAAATGAAAATAAAATCAAAGCTCGCCCACCAATTCTCTGTGTACATCATGTAGATTTAAAGGCAGCGTGTTCAGATAAGAATCCTTCAAAGGTTTCCAGCCCAACTGATGAGGCTCCATGTAAATCATGCCACACCTGGAAGACATAAGAGAATTGACTTCCACGCATTTACTAGTGAAGATGAGAAAAGAAATAAGTTCTGCATGTTGATTTGGCCTTCAGACCGCCCTGGCAGTCACTGCCAGTGTTCCTACAACACCAGTTGTCAATTGTTGGAAACCAAAACAAAATATGCTCACTGTGTTTCCAAAGCTCAGCCCCTTGCAATCTCTTGGCAGCTACAAACCTGTGACGTAGAAGGTTTTGTGGGCTAGTTCAGGGAAAGGCTATGTTTCTTCCAGCCCTGGGTTTTCCCAAGTGTTATAGTAGGATAGCATGGACATGACGTTGTCATCAGAAGAAGGAAGGAAAGCCTGGCTAAGAGCTCAGTTGGCCAGATTTACCTGCTAACGGTTGCTGGAGATGCTTGCTCAAGATCTTCTGGCTCAAAGATTAAGCTCATTTGTGCACTCATCTGAATGATCTCCCCACTCATCAAGCACAACTTCAATAGAAACAGAACAAAAAGCTGCTTCAGTCCTGCGTGCAGGAGTGTTTGCAACAGAACTGCAGACCCCTGTGTCACTCGTATATTTTTCTTATAGCTGCCCCACGTCATTCATATTTCACCGAATTGCCCCTGGAGGAAATTACCCCAGAAGCAGGAACTTCTGCCACAGAAAGCTTCATGCTTACAAACTATAGTTCTTCATTCTCCTGGCTCACAGAATTTTTTTTTTTTTTTTTTTAAATAGAGGGCATATATTTTCTATCTGAAAAGGAGTCATTTCTCTCCATGGGTAGAAATGACATTCCAAAACAAGATGTTGATGCAGATTGATTTTTCTAAAAATGTTTCTTCTTATGTTTGAAGTTTAGAGAGGAAAACAAGGAAGAAAGGATAATGAGCAGGTTCAGAGGTCATGCCAAAAGTAATCTACTATGTGAGTTTGGTCATATGTATCGTTGTTGTGTTTTCTTTTCTCATGTGATTATTTCTTTAGAGGTTTTTGCCATTTTTTTGGCAAACTGATTGAACATAACCATTATTAAGAATAAACAGTTCTCCATACATTCTTGCTGGCTTCTCACATCATGCTAAGCCATAGTATGAGGTTTACCGTGCCATGCAAATCCACCCGCTGTGGTTTATAAACCACAAGTTATAACTTACTGTGCATACAAATCCAATGTCTTATTCAATAAACCATGATTTTAAAAATTGTGCCTTAGCACAACATGCAAATGAGCCCAACGAAACTGACTTCTTTAAACTTTTGCTTGAGGATTAATAATTCTTGGGTCTCAACATTAAATTCTGCTTGACCAGTAGGATCAATGAAAGATAAGAAGCCCCTCATGGCTGTTCTGGAAGAATGGAGGGAAGCAGGACACCCACAAACCCAAATTTACTGGGCTTGATCCCACGGCAGTAAGCCATATTTAATCACATGGCCATAACCAAAGTTGATACACAACTATAGTCAATGCATCATTATCTTTTTCAAAGGTTATCATAAGAAAAAACTGATTTATATAATATTGAAGTATTTCACTGATTTTTGCTTGGATCCAGAGGTAACTGCAGTGAGGTCAAAAAAGTCAAGATGGCAGCCATGATCCTGTGATTGAAGCCCCGCCCTTTTTAAGGGGCAGGGCTTCGATCACATGGTTGTGATCGCCATCTTGACTTTTTTGATGCTGTCTTTGCAGACACCCCTGAAATATGTGTATGTGTGTATGTATTTGTGTTTGTGTGTGTGTGTGCATGCCCTCAATATTTGAAGTATGTTTAATAAATTGGTTTACTGCTTTGAGGTGTTTTAGTGGGAAAATAGCCTAAATGTTTACATTAAATATCTAACCATCTCTCTTGCTAAGTGCTTTTTGTCTTAAATCAGATTAGTTTATTTGCTTCTAAAAAACACTTCAATTATTCAACTGAATTAGATAATGCAACCGAGAGGGTTATGTCAGATCTGGAAAAAAGTACAGATTACCTTCTTGTTATCATCTAATACAGTATTCATGTTTTCTATCCAAACAGCATCAACTGGGCCATCAAAGATGATCCACTTTCTGTCTTCATTGGTGGAGGAAGCCTGCTCCCTGAAGGTGTTGGCCAGAACGCCATCTGTCCATTCATGGCTAATGGGGTCAAAACATCCGTACAGCTGCCCCATGGTGATCGCTTTAGGATTGATAATTTTGTATTCAACAGCAGATTCCTCCATTGATTCTTCTAAAGACAATGAGAGAGAGGGACAGCAACATGTTTTAAATACAAGGGAGCATCAGTGGCGAAGGCCTATCGCTCTCCTGTCCCTCCTCTTGGGCTTTCCACATGCATCTGCTCAGCCATTATGCAACACAGAATACTGGAGTAACTGGGGCCTTTCGTCTGGTTTAGCAGTTACTCAGCATAAAAACAATGACCAAATATTGGTATCTACTAAAAATGTGCCAAGTGTTTCAAAGTTGGACCACCATGAACGCAAAGCAGGTATGGCAAGAGTTGTTGTGAGTTGGGCAACTAAATAAAAGATGGGCTGCTTCAAGCGTTAGAGCATTGTTTGGAACTCAGAACAGCCGTTTCCTCAAAGCACTACCAAAATGCTCAAAGTGGTTGATCTCAAACGGCTGTTTTGCATTCATAATTGGCTGTTCCAAATTTGAAACCGTTCTGAATTCTACCCAGTTTGCACCTCCCTATTTCCTAGCTAATGGGAAAGGATTTCTTGCAACTACAGTTGGTGCATGCCAGTTACAGGTTATTTTAACACACTGTTTCTTTTTTCTTTTTTAAATGATTTGGTGTCATTTTTAATAAGAGGACCAATTTCATCTTAAGCTTTGGTGTGACGTTGTGATGGAAGGGGGGACGTACATGGAAACAAAATATCTACAGTAGCCCAGAGTCCAGTGGAGTTGGGCAGCCAATAAATTGAAATAATAATTTAGTCACTATGATGGGTGACTTATTCTCAGCTGCTCTGTATTTTAATTTTTGTATTATTTTAATTGTTTTCATTTTTAAAATTTTGTTCGCCACCCAGTCACTTGGTGAGATTAATTAATTAATTAAATTAATAATAAGAATGCACTCAGCCAAATGTCCCCAAAATCCCAAGCCATCTGAACACAATCGACATAGAACATCTATTTCTTTGAGCCAGATTTAGAACACTCTTGTTCTTTTGTGAATTTTGAGAAACTAAGCTAGGGGTTGCCCCAAGAATAATCTTATTTTATATGAGAAAGCAAAATGGGCATCATTCATTTGTTCTCTCACCTTGGCTCAAATCCCCAAGTGCGGCAGCAAGCACCTTATAGGCCATAGTTTTGCCCCCCATTGGTTCTCCAACAATCATAAAGCCATGACGCACCATCATCATCTCATAAATCTGTAACATGCAATAAATAGGTTGTGTAGTTGAATCTTGACAGGAATCAAGAGAGTTTCTAATGGTCAGGATAAGATCCTGACCTCCACCATGCCGCTGAGCTATGAATAGATATTTTAAGAAAGAGAACAATGAACAAAACCTGAATAATTTTCCCAATAAACCAGGGAACTGGTTGAAGATTCATTTTCTCAATATTGCTATTCAACGCTTGGATGAAAAGTACATAATCAGGTTGTGGAAGGACAATTCCAGGAAACAAATCAGATATGATTCCCTGTGAAATAGAAGGAAAAAAAGGCGGTACTGAAAAACTGAACTTCCAGGAACGGTTATACATTTGTTTTAAGTGATTATTTCCAAGACTTTGTACCAAATTTGGCAAATTGCTGGGAGTCGGGTGGCATACAAATTTAATAATAAATAAATACATCTCTCCCTGTTCTGCTTTCCCAGGTAGATTCAAGAAAGTTAAATAAGTAGATTTTCTGCAGAGAATTAGGAAGCCAAACATGTGAAGAAGTTCTTCATCTACCAACACCCCCAACATTTTGTCAATTCGATATATTACTCCCCAGATTAACACCCTCGGGCTCTTCCTCCCATCTTTTCGAGTCGATAACTCATTTGAATATTCCTGCCATCTGCCTTTTATTTATGAAACAATTTTCTCTGGTTTGAGAATCAGCGATTCCCGCCTCATCAGCTACCACCCTTCCAGCTACCAATGTAAAAGTGCTTTGCTTTGGATTTATCCTAATCATTTCATAATCCTTGCTCCCTGGTTTATATTGATTTATATTATACTATTAACCGCATCCGAATGACAATCTTACCTGAAATAAAGGGACATCTTGTGCCAAAAATTTAGCTAAGTTAACATCCAACAGAGCTCTAAGCAACAACACACTTTCATTTTCTTCAGGATATTTTAGTTTCAAGTTCCCTGCTGCTGTCAGGACTGATTTGACCGCTCGCATCCCATAATCATAATGATGTTGTGATGACAACTGTTCAGAGCAAAGACGGTATGTGGCAACAATTTTCTGGGCAAGGCTGTGAAAGATAAGAATATGTTCTCATTCCTGAAGCCCAAACATCAACAGGAGAAAAAAGGATAAATATCTACATATATCACTGCACTTTACTTTTTATTTCTAAAATTCAACACAGCAAAAATCCTAAGGTAATGCACAATAAAAACAAATATAAAAGTATGGAAAACATACTTTAAAACAGTGACTTAGAAACATTACAATGAAAGTATTAAAAAAAAATAGCAAAGGCCTAAAATGAATATAACATTTCTAAATAATTTATAAACATTAGAACAACGTTAATGCCAGCTTTTTCTTCTTATTAATGGGATCATATTGACTACAGTTCTAATAACTGGAAGTTATTATTTTAGCTTGTGGCTGCAATTAAAAATAATAAATTAATCACTCTGGCATTAACATTTCATTCACCAAAAAAGATTAAGTCTTGTTATTGACTACGTAGCTAGAAAGAAGAAACCTGAAAGCAAGTCTGAAGATTTATAATAATAATCTAAGCATTTTGACAAGACTCTAAGATCATTTCTAACGTTTACACATTTTTCCTGGATGGGATTTTTGTGCATAAAAACGGGGGGAAAACAGTATGGAAATGTGTCTTTTTTAAAAAAGCAATAGGTTTACTTAGTAAAAATGCAACTTTACATACCTTCTGGAGTCAAGAAATCCCATTGAATAAAGTGAAATTTCACCAATCAAAGCATAATCTGGGACCATCATGGCTACTGTTCGGAATAAAGCCTTAAAAACAATAGTAATAACAATAACACACCCTGAAGAGAATCAAACTGAGAAAATTCCCAATTTTTCCTTATGAATCCCGCAATTGATTCCTTTGGAATTTTTCCTAGTATGCATTAACTGATGTAAAATACAACATGGGTTTGATTCTGTTATTAGACTCCAGGCTTGTTTACTCAAAACGTTTTAAATGGTTGAAACCGTACATGATCTCAAATTCAAGAAAACAAGAGGTTGTGCAAGGCTCAGCTATTCATGATTCAGCAATTTAATTTTGTATTAGGATTTTTTTTTTAAATAGGAGTCCAGTGGCCTCATCGGTGTCACTGTGGCTACTGTTGCTATCTTTCTAGCCACTGATTTAGTTCTTGCAAAGCCGGTGCCTATCTGAGTTCAATTTAGCTAGGTTGGTTAGAAGGTTTGGGGATTACAATATAACCCCCGCAGTGAGTCCCTGCTTCACTCAGCCGTTAAAAACGCCTGGAGGAATAAGATAATCTTCACCTGATGCTAAAAGGAAAATCCCAGGGCAGCCTCTCTATAGAGCAGTATTTTTCAACCTTGGGAACTTTAAGATGTGTGGACTTCAACTCCCAGAATTCCCCAGCCAGGAAAAACACTGCTATAGAGCTTTAGACTTAGGGACAGCAACATCTGTATCTCTTAGGAACTATCAAAGGTGCTGTAATATAACTCTTTCTTCCTCTTTGGAATCTGGATTCTGTTGGTTGCCTGCACAAGGACAATCTTACTCAAGTCATGATTTCTTACCTTCCTCAGGAAAGATCACGGTTTACCTTGAGGTTATCAGGAAGTTCAGCTCGCCCAGCATACCCAGGATTCATTGTGATGAATACTGCACAAGTTGGATTAAGAGAAATTTCTGTGCCTTCAAAGAGAAATGTCCGGAGCTTGCGAATAATAGCCTGTTGAATACTGAGGATCTGCTGTGCTACCACGGAGAGTACTTCAACCTATGAAAATCAGGACATAAACGCTTCAGTTTTAAACCAGTATAAAAATCCCTGTAATCAGGAGTGTGATCTAGATAGTTTGGTCCGGTTCATATGAACGGAATGTTCCATTTTTTCTGAATTAAATCTCATCTTTTGTGATTCCATGCACCATGGAATAAAACGTACAGTTCCTACAACTGCTGTAAAACATACAACTAAAAGTGGTGGGGTAGGGTGGCAGGAAGATCAACAACAGTTTGAAAAGATGCTGGGAAGACTGAGGAATGGATGGGTCCAGCAAGAAGATGCTGAAAGGACGAGGATGGTAGGAGATACTGAGAAGTTCAAGGGTGGACAGGCCAGTGCAGGGATCATGATCATCATGATCACCACCACCACAATGGAAAGGTGCCAAGAAGAGTATAAGGGCACAACCAATTAGGGAACAGCCTTGCATATGATGTATCTGGACTAACACACTAGAACAAAACATTCACGCACAGAACAGTATTTTTAAACAGTGTAATAAATTAATAATAAAGGGGTGCAAGGCAGAATTGTTAGGAATATGGTGGGCTGCTGGACACCATATTAGATTACTGTCTTGTCTAACTCAAGTGTTGTTAACATTAACTAGTAGCTTGATTTCAGGACATTTAACATGCAAAGCACATGCTCTATGAAAATAAGATGAATCTTTGATTCAATGCAGACCTCTCAGAATTTATTTAGGGAGCCCAAAAATAATGTTCATGGCTAGGCTCAGAATATTCTGATTTTTTCCCCCCGTCAAGGATTTGGGGACATTTCTTTATTGTTGCTATTGTTTAAATATACTTTAAACCTATTTTAGATTTTTTACATACATGTGATCGTCTACTCTCTGAATCAAAATGGCAGGAAACAATACTACAGATGTCCCAGTGGTACTTGAAAGATCCAGGGGCTTTATTCAAGAAATTCAAGAATGACAATGCAGCCAAGCCTTCAAATTGTCAATGATATATAGAAGTTTACTAGAATTGTTCCATATTTCTGGCACGCCTCAAACAGGTAGCACTTGGTTGACCTTCTGTAGGTTAAAAGCTAAGTAGAGTTGGACTTGGTTAGTTCTTGGATGGGAGACCACCATGCTGATGAAGTCCCAGAACTATAGGCTAGACTGGCAAATTTAAAAAAAAAAAACCCAGAAGGCAAAAGCTAACCATCTCCACGCTGGTGCCAAGAATTCTGCATGGTTGTGTCCACGGGTCATCAGGAGTTGTGCTCAAGTTTATCCTTACTTTTTTTTTTCCCCATTCCACACAAACTACTATCTTTGCAGATTACACTAGGGCAGTGTTGTCCAAACTTGGCCACTTTAAGAGGAGTGGACTTCAACTCCCAGAATTCCCCAGCCAGCTGGCTGGGGAATTCTGGGAGTTGAAGTCCACTCCTCTTAAAGTGGCCAAGTTTGGACAACACTGCCCTAGGGGATTTGGACAACAATAGCTACTTATGCTAAGCACAATTACCTCAATTCTGTTGAACTCATCAAAGCAGGCCCAAGCACCAGCCTGTGCCAGTCCTTTAAAGAATTTGCCCATGGCTTTGTAATCAAGACCGTCTGAGCAATTGAAGACCACACACTAAAACAGATAACAAGAAATTTCATTGTAATTTTCCATCTTCTCCCAGCAGGCTGGCCAAATCTCGGCAACTCTTACAGGAACAGAAATCCTCCTTAAGCCCATAACCAGACAGAGATTTATGAAAGTGCCTAAAGCAAACACCCTCCTAATTCACAGGAAGATAAAAGAGGGAGGAGGGGAAGCACATTCAGACTTGCATGATTCTGTTACTATAGCTGTTCTAGTAAAAGTAGCTTTATTTCTACAGTGTCTGTTTCTTGATCTGGTCTACCTTGTAGGGCTTATACTATGTCCCCACTCCAACAGTTGCAGAAGGCATTTTATACAAAATGCAATCAATTCAGCTAAACTCCCCATGAATATTAGGTATACATAAACTCCTACATCTTTTTTACGTAAGACACATCCACTTTTGATGGACAGCTTCAGCAGAAACAATCCCCGTGAGGCACGTAAAACAAATAAAAATGCCCCGAGTCGTTGGGAGTGGGGGGGGGGCATATAAATTTAAAAGAAGAAGAAGGAGGAGAAGGAAAAGGAATAATGATTCCTTTGGTACCTGCTTAGCCAATGCTTTGGCAAGATCCTTAGTAGTTTCAGTTTTCCCGGTGCCAGCCGGTCCTTCAGGAGCTCCTCCTAGGTTTAATTTCAATGCTCCCATTAAGGTCCTATGACACAGAAAGAAGATTACAAAGGGCAGCCAATAGATAAAGTAACTGTACAGAGACCCACACACATTCTCTCTTCATAGACACATATATATATACATAGGTCTCCCTATGTAAAGGGCACGCGCACACACACACACATCAGTAGGTACTGAGAATCACACGTTCATCTCCTGTAACTTCCATTATTATATGCCCAACCATACAACTTTTCTAAGGCTAAAAAAAAAAGGGACATTACCAAAAGAAATATTAAAACAGATTCAATAATTATTCAATTAATTATAATTTAATTAATGTAATGCTATAATATTAATTACAATTTTAAAATAATTAATAGCCACACAGAGTTGTTTGAGAGTCGGGAGGTACCTGAATGAATGAATGAATGATGCAATTTCAACTGAAACTGAACTGAATTACAAGATCAGGATTTCTCTTATCTTCAAGGATTTCTCCCTTCGGCCACATTAATCTTCATAATTTAGTGACAACATTTGATCTGCTGCCACAAATGAATTTTTCTATTGAACTTTGGCAGCACAATCTCAGGGGACTGGGGAGGGGGTTGGCTGGTCTGCCAAATGCAATCCAGGGGCCATGGCTGATCACCTCAGGTTAGAGGGAACATATTAGCACAGTTCAGAGCAGTGTTTCTCAACCTTGGCAGCTTGAAGATGCGTGGACTTCAACTCCCAGAATTAAATTATAATTAATTGAATAATTATTGAATCTGTTTTAATATTTCTTTTGGTAATGTCCCTTTTTTTTTTAGCCTTAGAAAAGTTAATTAAATTATAATTAATTGAATAATTATTGAATCTGTTTTAATATTTCTTTTGGTAATGTCCCTTTTTTTTTTAGCCTTAGAAAAGTTAATTAAATTATAATTAATTGAATAATTATTGAATCTGTTTTAATATTTCTTTTGGTAATGTCCCTTTTTTTTGGGAGTTGAAGTCCACACATCTTCAAGCTGCCAAGGTTGAGAAACACTGATTTAGAGATAGCACTAATTCCTAATGGCCTTTGTTTGGTTTTGCCTTCCAGTAATGTGTGATCCCAGTCATTGTGCATGATTTATGGTGGTATATGATGTGTAAATCAGGCCGCTATGCCTCTTCAACAAGCTTAGTGTAATGTGTGAATCTAGTCATTGGTGTCGGGGGGGCGGAAGGGATATCATCACGCAAATTATGAATTACATTCTGCACTTTGTTCGTGACATGATGCAACAGATGTCATTTACATCATTATTTTTTTATTTATTTATATTTATATTTCAAATTTGTCACCACCCATCTCACCACAGAATGACTCTGGACAGAGAGTCTATGTCAGTGTTGTCCAAACTTGGCCACTTTAAGATGAGTGGACTTCAACTCCCAGAATTCCCTAGCCAGCCAGAAGTCCACTCATCTT